ATTTAATTTATGGTAGTCATTTTTTTTTTTTTTGGTCGAGGTAATCGGGGTTGAGTGGCTTGTCCAGGGTCACATAGCTTCCTCCTTATGGAAGAAGGAAGGAAGGGTCAAGTGTCTGAGGCTAGATTTGAACTCAGGTCCTCCTGACTCTAGGACTGGTGCTCTATCCACTGAGCCACCTAGCTGCCCTAGTAATCATTCTTAAGGAAAACTGCCCAAGCTATGGAGTCTTCCCATGGGCTAGGTAAAACCATGGCTGTTATTATGGGTGATTCTAAGCCGTGGAGTAATAAGCTAAAGTCCAGAAGGATTTGTTTGTTTTTTGGTTTGTTTTTCCTGGCATGTGGACATAAGGAAGAGAGCAAAGTCAGAGATAAGCCAAAGCCTGTGTGATCCCTGGGTGAGGCTGGAGAATTGTACCCCCATGTGTTTGAAATGGAGACAGGACAGAGAGCCTTGGCTTTGGGGTAAGGGGAACTACATTCAAATCTCATCTTACTGTCACTGTTTGTATGACTTTGATCAAGTCACAACTTCCCCAGACCTTGGTTTCTTTACCTGTAAAATGAGGTGCTGGGACCAGATGGGCTCTGTATCCCTTCAGTTAATTTCTCTTATGGAGTGGGGCTGCCTTGATATGGCTCACAGGAAGGAGGCAAGAACAGATGTCTCGAGCATCTCTTCCTCCCACTCTTCTCTAAGGGAGCCTGTGATTCTTGCCAAGAGGGAAAGCAGGAGGTTGGGGCTGAGAGGCTGGCTGCTTTGCTTTCCCCTGAAAAAGGAGATATATAGGGCTAGAATTAAATCTATCGGCTCATATAAATACTGTTTGTTAGTCTAGGGGAAGAAACTTTTAGATTCAAGCTAAACTCGTGATCTCTATTTCTTAACAGGTAAGGTAGGTGGGAGGGAGAAGCTCTGTATCTGAGCCTTGCTTCCCGTCCCATTAAATACCAGCTCCAAAATGAACACAAATAACAAATACCAAAGAAACTCATTCATCCCAGTTGATAGCAAAACAGAAATCAGAGAAAGTACACGTGTGAATATTCATGTCAGACAATATAGATTGAAGGAGCTCATTCATTGGGAGCAAGTTATCCTACCTCAAACAAGAGACAGAACCAGATTTCCCCCAAGGGAAAATTCCCAAAAGACTCTACTATAACAAGCTGAGGATAGGGACATGAGAGAGACTGACCGTTCCTCTCATGTTGGCTTCTTCCCAGAGCCTTTTTCTCCCTTCAATAAGTAACCTGAAGAGAGGTTAGCATCACACATGTCCTCTCTTGAAGCTGAAAGCTAGAAGAACTCTGCTCTCCTCCCCCTTCTCACTCTTGTTGACTCTGTTCCCCTCACGCAGGTGTGGGATATTGATATCTACCAATGAGGAGAGAGTTCCACACCAATGAACTCCGGGACTGGGGTTACGCCTATACTCCATTTCCTAATATTTGTTCGGGAGAAGTAGAAGAAAAGGACATTACCATGCTTATTTTAACCTTTTTTAATTTTTTTAGAAAGTGGCATTGATCTTTCTAAAAAACAATAGTCATTTCAACCTACTTTCCCTAAACCCTTCTTCGTAACTTAAAAACAAACAAAAAACAAAACAGTTGAGCAAAACTGATCTACTAAGCAATTATATCTGACAGCACATACAACATTCCCCACACATAGTCCCCTACCTTTCTACTGAAGAACGGGACGCTCCAACCTTCTTTCCCACTACTGAGGGGGCAGTATGGCAGAGTGGAAAGAGTGCTTAAATTTGAGTCTGGGAAAGACATGAGTGCCAATCTTGCCTCTAGTACTTATTAGCTATGTGATAGTAGGCAACTCATGTCATCTTCAGTTTTCTTATCTGAGCAATAGGGATAATAATATGTATGTCACAGGGATATTGTAAGGATGAGCAGTTAGGTGGCACAGTGGAGAGAGTGCCAGGCTTGGAGTCAGGAAGACCTGAGCTCAAATGTGGCCTCAGACACTAGCTGTGTGACCCTGGGCAAGTCACTTAGCCCTGTTTGCCTCAGTTCCCTCATCTGTAAAATGAGTTGGAGAAGGAAATGACAAACCATTCCAGTATCTTTAACAAGAAAACCCCAAATGGGGTCATGGAGAGTTGTGAATGACTTTCTGAAGAACGCCAACAAATGGTGTAAGGATAAAAGGAGCTGATGTAAGTACTTGGCACACTTTAAAAGTCTCTAGAGTGTAAATGTCAGATATCCCCCAAATATAGCCTACACTGCAGTCAGGCTTGTCTTCTCTCCAGGTCATAACTATCACATGTTTGTGCTATTACTGTTCTATGTAACTGAGTTGCCTAGCTTTTTCCTACTTACCCAATTCTTCAAGTTCTACTTCTTCATGCCATTATTACTCTTCCCTTTCTCTGTACTCTGAACTAAGTTATTTTCCTGAGTTCAAATCTTGGGTCAGACACTTGCTGTGTGACCTTGGGCAAGTCATTTCCAGCCTTATTGCCACTTACCCCATACACTCTGCAGTCCAGTGACACCAGCCTCCTAACTGTTCTCTGGTCTTGTCCTTGCAGCACATGACCTCCATCTCCTGATTCTCAGAGTTTTCATTGGCTGTCTCCTCTTCCTCCTTCACCTTGCTTCCTGGTTTCCCTGGCTTCCTTCTCAGCTAAAATCTCAATTTCTACATGAAGTCCTCCTTAATGCTAGTGCCTTCCCTCTATTGATTATTTCCATTTTATCCTGTCTACATCTTATTTGTCCATAGTTGTTCCCATGTTGTCTCCCCCATTAGACTGTGAGCTCCCTGAGGGCAAGGATTGTCTTTAGTCCTTGTATTCTCAGCACTTAGCATGGTGCCTAGCACGTAACAGGCATTTAATAAATACTCATTGACTTCTTGGCTTAATCTCTGTCAGCCTTAGTTTCCTCACCTGTAAAATGGAAATGATTGCACTTACCTCCCAAGGCCACATAGGAGATCAATTGAAATAACACATGTAAAATTCTTGGCAAACCTTAAAGCACTGTACAAAGGTTACTCATCATTATCGTATAATCAGAGCTATTCTTGAGGTGTTCTCCATATTTGCTCACGTGTTCATCTTCTCTTCCCAACTAGATGGACCAACTGCTTAAGCCTGGGGGACCATATCACATTTCTGTTATATCACCATGATGCTGGCACGGTGCTGGACACAGTAGTTATTCTACAAGCAATGTTGTTCTCTGTCCTTATTGGACAGCACCTGGAGTGCTGTGGTCAGTTCTTGATGCTAATTGGGGAGAACGCGGACAAGGTGTGATAGTCTAGAGGAAAGCAGCCAGAATTCAGGAGAAATTGAAACCATGCCATATAGGAGCATTTGCAAGGACAAGAGGGTTAGCAGGGGATTGGAAGGAAGACGGGACGTGTGTGTATTGTCTTCAAGTGAGGGAAGGGAAGGGAAATGGAAGGGGAAGGAGAAGGAAAAGAAGAGGAGGAAAGGAGAGGGTAAGGGAAGGGAAAAGCCTAGATATACTCCATGTACTCTATGGTCCAAATAGGCCTTAATCCTCAGCACACACAGTGCTTCATGCCTTTGTATCGACTTTCCTTGTGTCCATTGACTTATGGAGTTCATTGCCTTCTCACCTCTGCCTCTCAGAATTCCTGGTATCCTTCAAGGATCAGCTTTCTTTTTTCCTGATCTTCCTTCCCCACCTCCTCCCCCTCCCCCTCCAGCTGCTAGTGGCCCTCCTCCCTAAACTACTTTGTATTATGTATTATTATGTAGTATATATGTATATTATATGTGTATTATGAATACGTACATGCACACGTTTATATGTACATATATAAACATATGTCATGTCCCTTTCCAATAGAATGCAATCTGCTTGAGGGCAGGGATGGCTTCATTTCTGCCTTTTTATCCTTGGCACTGATGCTTGACCTAGCGTAGGAGTTTCAGAAATGTTTTATTCATTGATAAGGCAGGATTTTTTTTTTTTGGTCTCTGTTACTTTCATATAAAGGAAAACGTCCTTGTCAGCACTGTCTAAAAGCAAAATGGGCTGCCTTGGGAGCTTTTCCTCATTTGAAATTTCTACTCAGAGGATGGATAGCCACTTGTGGTGGATTCCTGCTCAGTTAAAGATTGGAAGAGATGACCTCTGGGCCAGCCGCTCAGTCTGTGGTTCTCCCAGGAGTTAGAGGCTGGACTGGTTAAAGCATGGCTCTACCTTCCTCTCTTCCTTGCACTGTTGGGGGATTATGGATGTGGAACATCACATATACTGCCACACTTAGTAGATGGGTTGGTTAACTTTCCCCTTCTCTTTTTTCTTTCTCTTTCTTCTTTCCTTCCTTCCTTTGTTACAATGGATGGCTCACTATGGGGAGGGGGACATATTTGGAAATGAAAGTGATGTAAAAACAAAACATCAGTACCCATTTTTTAAGTAGCATGATGCATGGCCATAGTGATGAGCTTATTCCTTTATGGGCCTGTGAATTTCACTCATGGGCCTGGACAGCTCCCCCAACCCTAGCTAGGCATCTTACAGGTGCCCAATAGCAATGGGCAGGGGGACAAGGTGAGAAAATGTAGATTTTGCTTTTCATTACTACTAGTGGGAAACAACTCAAAGAGTATGCCTGTCACTGGGAGCCCTCTAAAGGTGTGCTTTCTGCAGATTAAGGAGGGCACATTTGATTATTCCTAAGAGGTGAATGGAAAGCTAGGGAGAGCCAGTCTCTGAGGTTCCAATTTGGCAATCTCCGTTCCAAATCCTCTCCCAACTCCCCACCCTCCAGCCCCAATCCACGTGGGGACGTGGGGACAGTGAGTAGGGAAATCAGTTATAAAGTCTACACTGGATCTGTTGGTTGTATGTCTGGAACCCAGTGGCAGGGATTTCAAGGAAAAAAAAAACCTCTCAAAAACCATTTCTTTATTTTCTGTTCCTGTTATGTTGTCAGGGGCCAACAGGGAACAGAACCTCAAGAACAAAGCATCTAGACACTGGAGGAATGGTTCGACTATATAAGCAGATTTAATGATAAAACTCTAAAGAATTAGAAATATACAAAAATGTCAAGGCTGCTGGGTTTTTTTTGTTTGTTTTTTGTTTTTTGCTTTTCGCCTCCTGGTGGGTAAGGGTCCTGTCCATCAGTCTTGTGCAAAAGGTCATGGTGCTGGCTCAGCAGTCATGTTCCCTCCCTCCCGGGGACAGGAGCAGTGCCCATGGGCGCCCTGCAGCGGGAGGGCAGTGCTAAAGGACAGGCCTCTGGAGGCCCTGCTGGCTTCCCTTGGCCTGGAGGATGTCTCCGTGTTTCTGGCTTTATGTCCGACCTTTGAAAGTGTTCATGCAGGTGTAGCTGCCAGAAAACTTGTGGATTTCTTCAAGTGCTGCTTGTGGGAGTATGCTGCAAGGGGGAAAGGAGAACATGAGGTTTGGACACTTAACGATGCCTTCTCTTAGCTTCAGGTTCCTCCCTCCTCTCCTTCCCCAGCCTAGGACCTTTTCCCAGATAAGCTGCCCTCTGACCAAGACTCCTCCACCCCTATCTTATACCTGGGACATTGATTTCTTGAACCCAATTGTAAGACTTTACATTTGCCACTGCTCAGTCTTATTCAATTTGGGGCAATATTCAAGACCTTTTAGGGTCTTTACTCTAACCTACAATGCTCTTTCACTTTCCCAGCTTGGTGGTATCTCCAAACATGATAAGCATATAACCATGTATGCCTTTATCCAAATCATTGATAAAAAATGGTAAACAGCAAGAGGGTCATGCATACATGTCTGGCACACTGCACGGGAGTTCTGCTTCCCAGCTGACATCCATCCATCAATGACTACTCTTTGGGTCTGACCCTTCAGCCAGCTCCTGAATCCATCTAACTGTACTATCATTGATATTTTGAACTTGTTTGTAAAGTGCTTAGCACAGTGCCTGATTCAGTAAGTACTTAATAAATGCCTGGTCCCCTTCCCTCCTCCCTTCCCATGTTGATCTAAATATTGGCCACAATTCATGCACCATTCCGCTCCCCCTCCCATTTTGTTTGTATAAAAGCTAAGTGTGATTTATAATCAGGGCTGCTTTTCAGTTTGTACCAATAAATATTTTCTTTCAGAGTTCTCATTTTGAGGAGGAAGCCTATATATTGGGAATGATCTATTAGGCTTAGGATAGTGTGCATTCAATACATATTTGACCAAATGTAAAACAAGAGGGTTGGATTTGGTCTCTGAGCTCCCCTCTCATCATCTTTGTCATTATTTTTTTGCTTTTTGCTAGGCAATTGGGGTTAAGTGACTTGCCTAGGGTCACACAGCTAGTACGTGTTGTGGGTCTGAGACCAGATTTGAACTCAGGTCCTCCTGACTTCAAGGCCAGAGCTCTATCCACTGCGCCACCTAGCTGCCCCTATCTTTGTCATTTTCTGACCATAGTGAATGGATGGATATCCACATAACTTGTCTAAGTTAGTCAGAGAGGCACTGGATAGGCTTAGATCCGCATTGTGAGAGGATGCTTCTAAACCAATGACATTGCCAACCCACTGAGGCATTGAGCAATGAATGAAAGCATGACACTGGGGATTTTTTCTCCCTCAGCCCGATTCTGTTCAATTCAATAATTACTGTGAAATTGATGGTTAGGAAGCACATGTGGAGTACTCTTTAGTAATGACTTCTAAACGAATCTATAGAAATACAAGGAGTGAATCCTTTAGAATCTTTTCTCCAACCTGATATGACAATGATGAAAGCCAGCATTTATATTTGTATTTATTCTCACAACAACCCTGGGAGTTAGGTGCTATTATCATCAGATTTTACATGGGGGTGATGAGGAAATGGAGGCAGAGTGAGGATAAGTGACTTGCCTAGGGCCAAACAACTAGTAAGTGTCCAGGTAGAATAAGAACTCAGGTCTTGAGGACTCGATCCACTGTGCCACCCAACCTGGGTGAACAGGGAAAGAGTTGTGGAATTTTGAATGCCCTCTTCGGATACCTGGTAATATAGTTCAACACACTTGTGGTACACTTCTTCCGGGAAGGACCCTGGATTGGGCACTGTCCATGGTACAAAGAAGAAAACACCATACTCAAGTCAGAGCTTCCAAGCTAACGGATGAGATCCCAGCCCAGAATGGGACTGGTATTAAAAGAGCAGGTTGTGTGACCTTGGGGAATGAAGGCAAAATCCCCTCAAAGAGCCTCCTTTGGGGACATGGTGCTGGGTCCCAAGTTTTATACAGCTTCAGGATAAATCTGGAAGCAGACTGGCCTGCCTTTTCTCTAGCCAACCTTGGCTCTCCCCTCCTTAGAACCTCATTTGCAGTGAGGTCTATTATCTAGGAAAGCTCGTCCCATCTTAGGCTGCATTGAGAGAGCTGCCATGTTGGGGATCAGGGAGGCAAGACTCCCTCTTATTCGGCCCTAGTCTGGTCACTGCTGGGACTGGAGCACTTCCAATGATGGGCCACAACAAGAGAAAGGCGTTGAGTAAGCCAAAAGATGACTGATTGAAGGAGCTAAGGACGTTTAGCATGGAGAAGAGACTTGTCTTCTCTTGTCTTCTAATGTCTTGAATGCTGCTACATATGAGAAAACACAGACTCACAAAGTTTGGCCCCAAAGGCAGGACTGGGAGCCATGGGTGGGAATGACAAAGACCAATTTTGGCTGGATGTCAGAAAACACTCCCTGATTGTGAGAGCTAGACCCAAGTAGAGAGGGCTGCCTGCACAGGGGGTGACTTCCCCTTCTCTGGAGGCTGGCTGACCACTTGTCCCCTGGGCTGGAATGAGGATTCTTTTCTGGGTATGGATTGGAATAGATGGACCCTTCCTACCCTGAAATGCTTTGATTCTCTCGTGCGGAGAAGGCATCCTCTGAGATCCAATTCTGTGATCATGCAATACTTGGAAAGGATTGCAACATATGGTATCGATTCAATTCAACAATAGAGTGGTTGTTGTTGTTGTTCAGTCATTTTCAGTCGTGTGTCTGACTCTTCATGACCCCATTTGGGGTTTTCTTGGTAAAGATACTGGAGTGGTTTGTCATTTCCTTCTCCAGCTCATTTTACAGATGAGGAAATTGAGGCAAACAGGGTGAAGTGACTTGTCCAGGTCTGAGGCCAGATTTGAACTCAGGTTTTCAGGTCTGGAGCTCTATCCGCTGTGTCACCTAGCTGCCCATGCCAACGGATTAAGCACCTACTATGTACGGTATAGACAGGAAGCATAGATTAATAGAGAAAAAGCTGGCCTGGAAGCCAGAAAGACCTGGATTCAAGTCTTGCCTCTGATGACAGAGCCTCTCAGCATGCTAGATAAGCCCCTTAAGATTAGAAGGTGCCGGTCTTCACTGGTAGAGGGAGTTTCCTATCCCAGTGAAGTCCCTAGTCTAGTCTCTCTCCCTCTCCGTCCATGTACCATGTACCATGTCCAAGACAGGTATGGGATGCGAATTTGTAGGAGACACGGCCCCTGTTCTTAAGGAGCTTATGGTCTAGGAAGGGGAGTGAGCCGTGGACGTAAGTAACTGCAAACGGACAGTCTCTGTGGACAGTACAGGCTGTAGTATAGCCCTGCCAAGAAATTCCTAAAAGGAGTCAGAAGGTCACTGGTCGAGAGCGGGACTTTAGGGGCCATAATGTCCAACCTCCTCATTCTATAGATAAAGAAACTTAGGCCCAGAGAAGAGCCTGGTGGAAAAGGCAGTGCGGTATGGTGGTTAGAGAACTGGCCTTGATGTCAGCAAGATGTGGGTTCCAATTTCACCTGACACCTCCTGGCTGAGTGACTCTGGACAAATCCCTGAACCTCTCGGTGCTCCGGGCAATTCCCTAAGACAACAATTTGTAGAAGAGTCGCTGAGGGGGGATCGCCAGAGCAGGCAAGTCACAGGTTTGGCCTCTGCTCTCCACCTTCTGTCTCACAAAACCCTTGCCTTTCTCTCTCGGCTCAGGGTTTCCTGTGAAGGCTCATTCAGCTGCCTTTTCTTCTGGCTTCTAGCTTCATGGCGACAGATGGGGAGTGGATTCCTCCTGGGTGGTGGCACAGGAAATGGGGGCACTGGATAAAGCTGACCTGACCCTCTGAGTTCCCTGAAGCCTGAAGCCTGAAGTCCTTCCCTTCCCTGAAAAAGCCTTCGAGGTCAAGCGGGTTTAGTGAAACAGCCAGAGCTAGGTTTTCAAAGGTGTTGCGGTGATCTGATCCCTGGGGCAGTTGTGCTCCCTAGATCCCCAAAGCCCTTTCCCAACCTCCAATAGGAGACTCAGAAAAAAACCTGCTGGAGCCAGAAACCAGGAACTGCCATCCTGGAATGAGCTTTGTGCTGAAAGAGCCAGTCGTGTGACAGCCAAATGGCCTCAGGTCAACTCCAAGGACGTCTGGGACCAGATCCCAAGTCTTATAAAATTTCAAGGTGAATTCCTGATCAGGACTACCCTCTCTTTTCCCCAACAACCCATTTTGGGGGATCAGACCCCATTGGGGTGAACCTTGCATCCTGGGGTGGAGGAATGTGCCTAGGCCATGGGTTATACCCTTGTATTTATTTTGTATGAGAAGAGAAGATGGGCTCATTCAGTGAGATCGAAGATGAGAGGTGCCGAGAGTGATCCACCAGTACCCACTGGATGTCAGGACAAAGGACAGAGGGCCTCCATCCTGTCGGGTGGACCCCGTGACAAACTTATCGTGGGATGTGGACAAATGTCACATAGAATTGCCATGAAGGGAAATCGAATCGAGACCACAGGTTCATCTGAACACATCTTGTACTTGGTAGACTATAAGCTCAGAGAGAGCAAGGGTTGTTTCCTTTTTCGTCTTTGTCTCCTCAGTGCTGGGTATAGTGTTTTTCATATGGTAAATCTGGACTTAATGTTGAATTAACGTTATTATTAACCTGGGTGGCTCAGTGAATAGAGCACTGGACTTGGAGTCAGGAAGGCCTGGGTTCAAATACTGTCTCAGGCACTTAATAACTGTGTGACCATGGGTAAGTTACTTAACTCTGTGCCTCAGTTTCTTTATCTGTAAAATGAAGGGATTGGAATCCCTTTCAGCTCCAGATCTAGGCTGCTATAATACGTGTAAGAGAGATGCCGCCAGATTGGAGGAAGACAGCTGACAAGTCTTGACTGGGGTCTGGTGAGTTGGGTTGCCCTCAAGATGACTGACTGCCTGGGAGCCCAGAGGACAGATTCCTGTTGCGGGCCCCACATACTGCATCATGGAAGACAAGGGCAGTTCTCATCACTTTCTGCCTTTCCCTGCTGAGAGGACTTGTCTTCTTGGGGGAGAGGGAGGGTGCCTGCCCCGTCTTTTCCCCCAGGGAAGGGCCTGCCCTTGGTTTGCTGGGCACAGGGCAGAGACAGGAGAGCCGATGGTGAGCCTTGCCAGTCCCAGAGATGTCAGTGTCCGGGGCACTGGGGGAGGGCTTCAGAAGCACATGGAAGAAGCAGGATTCTAGTCAGATGGTCTCCTAGGCCGGAGAAGGGACTTCATGGGCAACACTCATGTAATGCGTGTGTAAAGGAAGGATGATTTCCAAGTGCTTATGCAGAATATGATCAGACTCTGGCCTTCCAGCTAGAGAAGAACCTCTTCCAGTGGGGTTGGCCTGACCTCAGGGTTTTCCCTGCAGGTAAACCCGTGTCTGGAAAGTAGTCTTCTAAAGCACAGAGATTTCCTGAGTAGCATCCTCCTTAGAGAAGAAAGGAGGTCAGACTTGTGGCCTCCAGGTCAGAGGAATGGTGAAGGGGCCATGATGGGGGCAAGCAAGGCCTCTGGACTTCGCCAGTCTCTGCTTTTAGGGCTGGGGAGAGGAGCAGTGATTTCAGTAATCAAAGAGTTCCTGGAAGAGCAAACTCTCTCCACCGTCACAGGTGGCACCTTCTCTGTAACTTAGGTCTGAGAGAGCTGCCTCGAGCACCGAGAAGTTGTCCAGGGTCACACAGCCAGGACGGGTCGAAGCAGGATTTCCACCAGGCCTCGCTGGCCACCATCTGCTCTGCTGTTTTGTTTCACTCTGTCTGATGTTTCAATTAGTGAGGTGAATGGTGCAGGTCCAGTGGAAAGGGGAGATTGCTTCTTGAAGCTGTCCCAGAGAAGGCTGGCCTGTAAGTGGAGCTCACGCGTTACTGAGAAAGCTTTATTTCTGGTGTCTGTGTTTCCTGAGTCCTCTGCATCTTCTGCAGGTTACAGCAAAAAGGATCTCTGAAACCCGGTGGGCATTTGTTACCTGGCGTGCTTGTACAGGAGTCAGGGAAAACTAGACAATAGCTGTGTCTACATTAAACTGAGAGATTCTTGGAGTTATCTCCAGACAAGGGTATCAGGCCTTTGTATTAGAACCAGTCTGAGTGAGCCCACAGGCCATGCTGGGCCATGGGCTGCATGCTATTTATAATATAAAGCATGAAGATTTTTTTTTTTTGCACGTGTTAGGGGTGCAGTGGATAGAGTGCTAGGCCTGAAGTCAGGAAGATGTGAGTAGAAATCTTGCTTCAGATTAGCTAGCTGTATAACCCTGGGTAAGTCACTTAAACCTCTGTCTGCCTCTGTTTCCTCATCTATAAAATGGGGATAATAATGTTGGGAGAACATTAAAGTTCTATATAAATGCTAGATATTATTATTATTATTGTTTTTATCACAAGCAAATGTCCTTCCCCACTAGACTCAATTCAATTCAGTTAATTTCAACAAACACTTATTAAGGGCCTGCTATGTGCGACAGATGCAGAGATGGTAGATGAAGCTCCCTGAGGGCAGGAACTACATCCAGAGCCTAACAAAGGACTCTGCCTACACTGAATGACAGTGTCCATCACTGCCTGCCTGACTGCTTTCTCTGGCAGTGACTGACTGGGCTGGACAGAGCACCAACCCCTCTCCCCACCCCAAACACACCCCGTACCTTTTCAGGATGACAAGGATGTTCATAGTCCAGGGGAGCAGGAGAAGGGCTTGGTTGAGCTGGACGGCTTCCACTGTCCTCCGGGCCACTGTTTCTGGCTTCAGCGGGGGAAAGAGGTTGGGAAACCTGCAAGGATGAACACAGAGGCCGTATCACACTAGATGTCTTGCTCCAGGGACCCACCGTATTCAATGCTTGGATCAGCAGAGGGGTGACCACAGAAGGAGGAAGGGATGGGCTCACAGGAGCCTCAGCACCCAAATGAGCATTATCACAGAGAAAGTAGATACAGACCATTTGGGAAAATGAGGCACGGCTTCGCAGCAGGGCCAGGAGTGAAGGGCCCAGCCACTGGCCTACTTCACAAGGAAGTTACCTGGAGGAGGGAAAGAGGAAGGTTGTGTGTGGCAGCCAAAGAGCGGCTTGGGATCTTGGAGTCTGGGACACAACAGCATCTTTATCACTATCATCATCAAGCATTTATGAAGCACCTGCAGCGTCCCAAGCATGTGCTCAACGCTAGGGATACAAAGAAAGCCCAAGGTCCCTGCCCTCGCGGAGCTCACAGCCTAATGGAGGAAACAACATGCAAACAACTACGTACAAACAAGCTATAGATGGGATAAATGGAGGGGAATCTCGGAAGAAAGGCATTCAGATTAAGGAGAACTGTAGAAGGAGAGACTTGAGGGAGGCCGGGAGGCAGAGATGAGGAAGGGAGACTATAGGGACAGCCAGAGGGAATGCCCGGAGTCAGAAGATGGAGGCTCTTGTGAGAGGAAGAGTCAGGAGGCCTGGATGGCTGGATCAGAAAGAAGATGGGGAGGGGAGTAAAATGTAAGGTTGGGAGAGGCCAGATTAAAAAGGGCTTTAAAAAACCCAAATAGAGGATCTTCTAGCTGACCCCGTAGGTTAACAGGGAATCACTGTGGTTTATTGGAAAGGGAAGTGACATGGCTAAATCTTCATTTTAGGAAGATCAATTGGACAGCCTAGTGGAAGATGGACTGGAATGGGGAGAGGCTTGATGCATGAAGACCAACCAGAAGGCTATCAAAGTAGTCCAGGTGTGAGGCGATGAGGGCCTGCACCAGGAGGACAGCTGGGTCAGAGGAGAGAAGGGGACATCTATAAGAAATGTTGTCAAGGTGGAGGTGACGAGAAATGACGCCAGACTGAATCTGGGGAGTGACTGCATCTACGCGTTCACGAACGACTCCCAGGGCAGTAAAAGGGAAGCTGAGAAGGGGAGTAGTGCGACTAGTAAAGCTGATTAATCAGTAAATTGATTTATTCAGCTAATTAATAAAGCTAATGAATTCTGTTTTAGTCATGTTGAGTTTACGATATTTGTGCAGTATCCAGTTTGAGATGTCCAATAGGCAGATGGTAATGCATTAGACTGGAGCTCAGGAGAGAGGTAAGGGCTAGAAAAACACATCTGAGGGCCATCTTCATGGAAATGATAATTGATTCCACGGGAACTGATTAAATCACCAAAAGAGAGAGCATAGAGGGAGAACACCCAGGACAGAGCTTTTGGGAGGATAGCCATGTTTAATGGGTATTATCTGGATGAAAATCTGGAAAAGGAAACTGAGAAGTAGCTAGGCAGACAGGGGGAGATCCAGAAGAGATGAGTGTCCTGAAAACCCAGGCAGGACAGAGCATCCAGGAGGAAAAGAAATCAAGCAGGATGAGGATTGAGAAAAGGTCATCTGATTCAGAAAGTGAGCGATCCCGGGTAACTTTGAAGAGAGCAGTTTTGGCCGAAGGCTGAGGCTGGAAGCCAAACTGTGTGTAGAGTGCAGAGGGTTGAGAAGAAAGGGAGTGAAATAAGGAGGAGGAGGAAGAGGTCAGTCAAAGCCTCAATTTGTCTTTTGGGAGGTGTGAGGAGAGGTTCTCCACCGAGAGGTTTGACGGGGGATGCAAGCATTTGGAAGAGCTACTCCCTCGGGGAGGCGCCATGATGCGGTGGGAAGAATGCTGACCCAAGAACAGAGGAGCGAGGGTCCAGTCCCACCGCCACTCATTCTTGCTCCTTGTGTGACCTTGGACAATTGATCGATGACCCTCCATGTGGTGGAAGGGAAAGAGTACTTGTTTTGGAGTAAGAATATCTCCTCATCTTTGGGTTTCTTCAGAGTCTCTTCATTCTTGGGCAGCTGGGTGCTGGCCAAGTGGAGAGAGTGGATAGAGTACCCGGCTTGGAGTCAGGAAGACTCATCTTCCTGAGTTCAAATCAGACCTCAGACACTTTCTAGCTGTGTGACCCTGGCCGAGTCATTTAACCCTGTTTGCCTCAGTTTCCTCATCTGTAAAATTTGAAGGAAATGGCAAACTACCTAGTATCTTGGTCAAGAAAACCCCAACGGGGTCATGAAGAGGCAGACATGATTGAAAATGACCGAACAACAACAAAGGGCCCTTCTGGCTTCGACATTCTTTGAGTTGAGGCACAGTGTGATACGGTAGGAAGAGCATTGAATGTAGAGACAGAAGGCAGTCAGATGATGCAGTGGGTAGAGGACTGGCCTTGGAATCGGGAAGACTTGAGTTTAAGTCTGGCTTCAGAAACTTAATAGCTGTGTGAGTGTAGGCAAATTCCTTCCTTCTTACACTGCCTCCATTTTTTTTTCCTCTGTAAAATAGGCAAGGGCAGTAGTTTTGAATCTGATGGACTCCAAAGTTCAATTGTGTTCTAAACAGATGATTCTGTAAGATGCTGACCTCTCACCTAAGCTGTCTTTCCCTTAGTTTCCTCATCTGTTAAAAGCTTAGAATCAAAATTCACAGGCTCAGGGTGGGAAAGTCACTTGATCGCCTTGTTATGAGGTTCAAGGGAGGTATCACACCCAATGCTCACTGAACTGTAACTTCCTGCATAAACTCGCATGGTTAATATTACTGATGCTGCCACGTAAAAGTGTTATGAACAGTAGTCACTCACACTTCGAGGTTCTTTGCTTGAGGGCTCCCCCTCCCTGCTCACAGGTCACAGGGTCAGAGATTCAGGGCTGGTCATCAAATACAGGCCTCTCATTTTAGAGATGAGGAAACTGAAGCCCCAAAGTTCTTTAAACGACATATAATAATAATAATAACAAAAACTGAGGATAACAATACAACACTGGAAAGTTTAACATTTATTATCTCATTTGAGTCTCCCAATTGCCCTGGGATATTGTGCTATTGTTAAAGGGTTTAAGTGATTTGCTCAGGGTCCATCAATAAGCATTTATTAAGCACCTACTATGTATGAGGCACTGTGCTGAGCGGGTGGGGATACAAAAAAGGCAAAACAAACATACAGACAAAAATCAACCCAGCCAGGAGGTGTGTGAGGCAAAATGTGAACTCAAGTCTTCCTGACTCCATGTTCAACTCCCTCTCTGTTACCTGGCCTAGCTGCTGTTCGTATGTTTGCTGCTAAAACAGAAAGTGTGTAAGCAGCTTGAGCCGATGTTCCCACGGTATTCAGCCTAGAATTCTCTTTCTTGGGTGGGAGGTGTAGAATGGGGAGTCCCCATTCTACAATTCCCAAAGAAACTGAAAATCACTAAAATGGTGATGGAGGAGTGGAAGGCAGCATATGGTAGGCTGTGATGAAGAATTACATAGGACAGGAGGAAAGGTGATTATAAAAAAAAATTGGATGATCAAGAAAGAAGATGGGCTGGTCCTGTGGAGAAGTGAGGGGTATCTAGCACATAGCTCCACTGGTCTATCTGTGATGTCAAGGAAAGAAGGGAAGGCCACCAGCATGTGGTAAGGATCCCCTGGGGCCAACAGATGGGAGGCCATGGAGAAGGGTCCTCAGAGGCGGGGCAGGTAGGGACAGGCTGTGACCTGTATCATTGGAAAGAATATTCATAAGCAGGAAACCACAAGGCCCCTGGAGTACGCGGATAGTTAGACATTCATCAGCTCTTAGCAGGCTCTTCTGAAGTCCTGGCTAGAACAGCTGAACACTGAACAGTGGCTCCCTCTTCTAGTTACTTTCAGGAAGGAGGTCTTCATTAAATGCAGTTCGTCCAGCCCTCTTCATTCGCTCATCCCAAGACGGCAAGGATTCAGGCCTCTAAGTCAGTAGGCAGCTGTTGGCCACCAAGGGGGAAAGTCTTATATTTCTGTCTTACATGGGTAAGAGGGTAAGGAGGTGGAATTCTATTCAAGAAGGGGAAAAACTCGGCAATAAATCTGATTTCTAGCTCCAATCTATTGCTGTGCATTGTGAGCTGGGAGGAATGTTCAACTTGCTTGGGAGAACCACCCACTCTTTCTTCTTTGGAAGTGCTTTAGAGGATTGAGACACATTTGCAAATAAGACTTCACCAGTTCCTAACCTCCGTCCTCAGGAGGCAGCTGGCTGTCTGTAGACCTCGGCCACCTGCTGTCAAGCCTCAGATTGGCAGGTGTTTGCTCTGAGCCTCCAACATCAAAGGGACCGTGAGCTCATTGATTTGGGACTTTTCTCCAGGTGCAGACCGAAGCCTGTCCTGTCTCAACCCTTGTCTATTTTCTCTTCACAGTCCACCATAGGGTCCTGCTGGAGGTCTTCCTTGATTTCCCCTGACACTGAGATGGTAACAGTGGAGCACCCGGGCTTCCACTGGCCGTTCCCTTGTCCTTGACCTGACCAGCCCAGCTTCTCTGCATATCACTGGTGAGCTGATCTGGTCTGCTCACACTCCCCTCTAACCCTGGAATAGCAATCACATCAACTCTGCCCTTCCTGGAAAAGATGAGATGGCAGCCTAGGCTCCATTCTCACGTCCAGCTTAGAAATAAATGTCACACTCCACGGAGCATAAATGCATTTTACGAAAACTTTAATAGCAAGGCAATGCATATCTTAAATAGATGGAGCTAGCCCTGTCCTCGATGTATTATCTTCCTCCATTACAGAGATACTCAACCACCTTTTAACCATGAACCTTTAAAAAAAAAAAAAACAACTGCTAACTATAGTTCAAAACAATGAGTTTCCTTTGTAATCTCATGTATTTCATTCATTCAAAAACATTATTCTGGGGAGTCCATAGGCTTTGCCAGACTGAACAGTAAGTACTTAATAGATGCTTGTTTTCTTCTTTCTTTCTTTCCATTTCACAAAAAGGTGAAGAAGAGAAGGGGGAAGGAGATAAGCATTTATTAGGAACCTACTATGTGCCAGGCACTGCGCTAAATGCTTTATAGATAGTATTTCATTTGATTCTCTCAACAATCCTAGGAAGTAGGTGCTATTATTATCCCCATTTGAGAGATGAGGAAACTGAGTCAGGTAGAGATGAAGTGATGTGTCCGGAGTCACACAAGTAAAGTAAGTGCCTGAGGCTGGATTTGAACTCAGGCCTTCCTGACTTCAGGCCCAAGGCTCTATCTACTGCCCCACCCAGCTGTTTAAGAAGAACCCTAGCTTATTAGAATGTAAGTTCCTTGAGGGCAGCTAGGTGGAGCAGTGGATAGAGCACTGGCCCTGGAGTCAGGAGGACCTGAGTTCAAATCTGACCTCAGATACATGACACTTACTAGCTGTGTGACCCTGGGCAAGTCACTTAGCCCCAATGGCCTAAGCAAAAAAAAAAAAAAAGAAAAAAGAAAAAAAAAGAATGTAAGTTCCTTGAAGGCAGGAACTGTTTTGTCTTTTGTCTTTGTACCCCGAGAGCTTAGCAGAGTTTCTGGCACATGATGTTTAATAAATGCTTTTTCGTTTTCATTTTATTTCATAAGGCCTAGGGAAGTAGGTGAAAAGACTGGCTTCCTCTTTACTCACCTGACCCTCATTCCCTGAAACATCTCTGTGCTAGTATGGAAGGGCAGGACGGTGGTGGCATTGACCCCCGGACAGTCCAGCAGACCCAGAGTCAGACTTTCCATGAAGGCGAAGGAAGATGCTTTGGAGGTGCAGTAGTCAATGGCTCCAGGGATGGCAGACAAAGCCAGAACTGAATTGAGACACACAATGTGGCCATTCTGGAGCTCCAGCATCCGGGGCAGGAAGGCCTTGGTGGTCTAAGGCAGAAACAGAAAGCTAGCTTGAAGATACCCCATGCTTTCAACCCCCTAGCGCCCATTAATTTTTCTCCCTAAGGGGCAGGGATATCAATAACATCTCTAGGAACCAACTCTTACACTTAAGGAGGAGCAGAAAAGATAACCAGACCCAGCTGCTTAGTTGGGGCCAAATCCAATAGATCATAAAGACCCAAGATCTTCTGGCCCCATTGGCTGGGTCCCATACCA